AAAATATGTGTATATATATTTTTAATGGATTCAAGTACTAATTTTAAGAGCTAAAGTCACAAAATTCTAAGAAGAAAATCAGATGTTAATTTCCTTAAATACTCAGATATACCAAAAGCACAAGCAACCAAAGAAAAAATAGATTGTAAACTGGTGTGTCCAAGGACATTATTATAGTAAAAAGATAGTCTATAGAATGAAAAATATTGCAGATCATGTCTGTTAAGGGCCTAATATTCAGAATATATACAAGAATTTATAAAATTCAGTATGACGACAACCCAATTAAAAAAGAAAAGATTTTCCATAGAAGATATCAAAGCCCATGATATCAAGCACATGAAAAGAAACCCACAGAAGCGATTACTTCATATTTATTAGGGTGGTTACAATTTTTTTAATGGAAAATAAATGTTAAGAATTCGGAGAAACTGAAACCCTTAAAGACAGAGCAGCTTCTGTAAAAGGAAATTTGGCAATTCCTCGAAAAGTTAAAGCAGAGCTACAATATGATTCAACAATTCCATTCTTAAGTATGTACCCAAAAGAATTGAAAACAGACATTCAAACAGACATTTGTAAATGAATGTTCACAGGAGAACTATTTACAATAACCAAAATGTGGAAACTGAACAAATTCTAATGTTTCCATACTATGACATATTCAGCCAAAAAAGAAATGTACCTTATAGACAATGTGGATGTGAAAACACGCTAAGTGAAAAAAACCAAACAGAAGGGTACTATACTATATGATTTCATTTATATTAATACTCAAGAGTACTGCCAGGAGCTAAGAAGAAGGGAGAATGGAGTGATTGCTTAGTGGGTAGAGGGTCTCCTTTGTGAATGACAAAAACGTCTTGGAACTCTAGAGGTTATGGTTATGTAACATTGTAAGCCCACTAAAAGACACTGAACTGTACATTCAAAATGGTTAAATTTTAAAAGGCATGTGAATTTTACCTCAGTAAAAAATACATTAGGCACAAAAGACAGTAATAGCCAGTATTTATGTAATACTTTTTACATGCCAACTTCTGTTCTGAAATCTTTACACATGTTAATGCTTAATTTTATAACAAATGTATACACTTATTATTTATGTGATAAATAACTGAGGGGAAAGTAGCTAAATGGCAGAGGTTGAGATTTAAATCTAGATACTCAGTTTCCAGAATCCTATCTCTTAAGGATTATGGTAGATAGAAGGACAAGTTTAAAATATGAATAAAGAGCAAGAGACTAAAAAATAACTAATCAGACTGAAAAATAACCAAAAACAATACTTCCAAGAAATTTTAAAAAAGACTAACTGAAACTTAGAAGATAGATCCAATAGCCCAGTAGACAAAGCTAACTAAAGCTTTAGCTAAGTGAAAGAAAGAAATTATTCCAAATGTAGTACACTGAGATGAAAAACTAGCAGAGGTTCAAGAAACATGAAGGGAGACATGACTTGGTTTAACATATGTCTAGTTGGAACTTGAGTTCAATTTACTGCCTTAAGTCTCTAAGTGAACTTTTCACTATTTCTTCTATATAACTTAATTCCTTTAAGAATTTCTCTTGAAACAGGCAGTTGCCAGTTATCATGGCCCTGTTAATCCTAGCTGCTGGGGACTCTGAGGCAAGAGGATCACAAGTTCGAGGTTAGCCTGGAC